AGTGCAGCCTCTATACCTGAGACTCAGGGAACATCACGGAAAAGTGGGCGGAAAGACTGTAAGAGCCGGAGGACCAGAACATCTACTGCTAGATAGTGTCTTCTAGAGATGACAGCGAAGCTGTACCCACGAAGTCTCAACAATACAGTTACCTACACAGGACCTGCATAATGACAGCACCAGTTGACTGGTGAGGGAAGTTTCACAAGGCCCTGTCCCTAGATGAAGAGTTACAGGCAATCAATGGTTCAGAAAAGAAGGATCAGTCGTCCCCCCTCCCCCGCCGGGATGAGCCCCCCTGATGGGCTATCCAATCCCAAGTGGTCAGCCCTAAACACATACAGAAGAGCAACACTAAGTGACCAGTAGGCTGTGTGTGAATGTAACAATAATAACTATAGAAAAAGAGGTCATGAGTTTGAAAAGGAAAGGGAGATCGCGGGAGGAAATGGAGGAGGGAAGGGGTGGAAATGATGTAAATATGGTACTCATGTATGAAATTCCTTCCCCCAAATTTAAATAAGAGAAAGTAGAAGGCTGCAGAGACAGCCCACTGAGTAAAAATTGCTTGCTGTGCAAGCACAGCCTGAGTTTGAATCCCTAGGACCCGTGAGAAAATGCAGGGCATGGCTGCGCTCCACTGTTGGAGGGTGGGGACAGGCAGATCCTAGCCAAACAGCATGTTTCAGGTTCAGTGAGAGACCCGTCTCAATGGAATAAGGTGGGAACTGATGGGGGATCCTCTGGCCTGTGCACGCCCATTCACAAACACACATACACATGAAGGAAGAAAGGGAGGGAGGGAGGAAGGTATGGGAGGGAGGGAGGGGGAGAGAGAGGTGGGGGAGGAGAGAGAGAGAGAGAGAGAGAGAGAGAGAGAGAGAGAGAGAGAGAGAGAGAGAGAGAGAAGAGGGAAAGAAACCAAGAGAAGATGAACCCAGAGCAGGTGGAGGCAGGAACCGGAAAGGTGCCCACACCGCACCAGCGGCTCCTGCGTCTTGAGCAAGTCCTTCTCCTCTCTGTAACCCACAGTCCACAGACCAGATAGCTTCCTGTGCTGTTTAGAGCCTGGAGCTTACAGAAGAGCCCGGAGACAGCACGGACAGGAGGGACAGCTGGAGCAGAAGCCATGCCCTCTGGGTCTCTCCCCCTGGGGGGTGATTAATAGAGTCTCCAGCTTATACTAGCAAATGAGCTCCAGCTTTGCAGCACCTACAGAGACCTCACCATGCAGGAGGTTGGGCCTTAACTTTTCAATTATTCTTACAAAACACTCAAGATGTATTTATGGGTCCCCCCGGTAAGTGTCATGCATGCCAACATTTCAATTCTCTCTTGGACCCCAACTGCCCATGTTGACACACCCGGACCCCCAAGCAGCACTTAGGTACCCTCTATTCTGCAAACTCCTCCCCAATTACTTGGGAGGACTACTCTGCCTCTGGCGATGCCCTCTACACAGAGACTCGGAAACAAGATTTCCTGGGTTTGGGGCTGGTGGAAAAATCTTAGAGAAAACAAACAAAAAAACGATGACCTCAGATCTTTTCTGTCTAGGGCAAGGAGCCTACTTCCTGCAAGGAGGCCAGAGGCTGTCTACCTAGTCAGGCAAGGCTGGGAATGCACCCTGCCCCTCTATTAGCTGGCTGTGTGACGCTCTTTGCCTTTCGGAAAAGGACACATGTTCTGGAAGGGTCATACCTTCTCTCAGATACAGAGCCTGACGTGACAGCGCTGGGCATGGGACCTCCTACTGTCTCTTCACATAGTGTCCAGTCCACTGTGGGGCTGGGGGATAGATGAATGTCTGGTGTCCTGAAGCTACTGCCTTGGGGACATGAGTTTAGCCCGTGCACAGAGGCAGGTAGGTATTGGTGGTGGTGGTGGTGGTGGTGGTGGGGCTATGGATGTTTCAAGCAAGGAAGCCAAGTCCCCTAATGGGGCTGCAGAGTAGTTGTCTCTGGGCTGACTGGAGTCACTCACCATGACCAACACCAAAATTAGACCTTGGCTGGGAATTCTGGATTGGCAGAGTTCTTGTGTCTGGGTTAGGAGAAAGCCTCCCCTGACCATGCCCTTCATATACCCATCTCCAAAAGACTTATGGCCACATTCAGAAGGCAGCATGGCACTGTCTCCAAACCATTGGGCAGGGTGGGCATACTCATGCATGGATGTGTTGTTAACAGAGCTAGGCATATTCATGCATGGATGTGTTGTTAACAGAGCTAGGCTTCTACATCACGGGCAATAAAGACATCGAGCTGCAGCACAGCCCACAAGGTCCTGGGGCTTTCCCATGGATGTGTGGGGAGGATAGCTTCCTCCACAGGCCCCAGACAAAGCCAAGTGTTTGTTCTGCACCCCAACCCCAAAACGCACCACATCTTCCTGCTGCTGGTGGATGGGGAAGGGGCAGTAGGGGACGGACGAGAGAGGGAGAGAGACAGAGTGTAAATGAATGAATGCTGTTAACATTACTCTTTGGAAAGAATGACAGATTCAAAACCCGCAATGCCGGTCAACTGCACCTCTATTTTTCTAAGCAGGGGAGGTGGGGGGCGGGCATAGAAAACTTTCCTGAAAGGACTTGGCCTTGAAGTATGAAGTCAAACAACTGGAATTGGCAGGCAGACAGCTCTGGATTCCACCAGCCTGAAGAACTGTGGCCCAGTGGCAGGTCAGGCTGAGGCACAATGTAGCTATTCATAGCCCAGCGGGGCAGGGGCCTTCAAGTGTGAGAGGCCATGGCACCAGGGACCCCAGAGGTCTGACCCAGAGCCAACGGTAGCTCTGCGGCTGTGGGTATCCCCACAGAGGCCAATGGGACAGTTTGAGGGCAAACAGGACAAAGTCCTGCTCTAGCAAACACATCAAGGAGACACCTGAGAACAGAGATTTAGGCCATCCATCCATCATGGCAGTCGAGCTGGATGGGGCTCCAGTGCCATGACCTCCCTAAGCTTGCAGGGCTCCTCTGTGCTCTCCCTCATGAACACAGCCCTACCTTCCCCTGTGGACCTGCCATGGGCTTCCTGTGGTCACAGCCACGTCACCTTGTGAAAGTCAAGTTTACACTGATGCTTCGACTCCAGCCCACAGCCGAAGCTTCTGTGCATAGAAGAGACAAGAAGCTGGCACTTGGGATGCATGCTGGAAGAGGGACAGAAGTCCCATCTGTTTTGTGGTAAATGACCTCCACTAACAGGCGCCATCTTCAATCTCTGAGCTGTTGGATGCAGAAGGATCTGTGCTTCTACATGGAGTGTCTGCCTCATGGCGGCAGGAACAAGGTTTGAGAGGGTCTGGCCAGAGCTGTTCAGCACACGAGTCTCTAAGGGTGACAAGCCTGTTCTCTCACTGTTCCTGAAAGGGCACCATGAGATCACGGCAGGGCCCTCCTCAGTTGTTCTGCAGCGCAATTTATGTCCAGCCCACGCTTCTAAATAAGCGACACAGCTGGTCAGGAGGGGGACATCCAGGTTTCCTAACCACTCGGCGCTCTTCCTTCCTCGGCCTAGGACGCAGAGTGGTGGCGTCGGTTGGGGGATGGGCAGCGCGCTGCCCACGAGCTTCTCACTCTACTCGGGATCAGCGAGGAAGCCGACAAGGTGACCTCAGGGCGGGACTCATCATCTCTCAGAAGGCAGCCTTAGGGACCTGTGTCCGAGGCTGCAGCCGCAGCTGTCCCTACAGAGCTAGGTCCTCACATACAGGCCTGTTTGTGTGAAGAGTTGTAGACGTATCTGTCTAAAGGCACAGGAAGCTTCTCCACAGAGGAAGGCTTATTGTCCTCTGGCCTTTGCAGACACTGCCAAGGTGCTGACAGGGGGCCCCTCCTGACCCCTCTAGGTTCAGGCTAGAGGAATGCCAGTTGGCACGCATGCTCTCTGAGTGCCAACTGTAATGGGCTGTGGCTAGAGCTGGGTCACTGGTACTTTGCAGATACCCAGTACTCAGATGCAATACTGAGTGGAGTTCCAGGCCGTGTCCCGTGGTGGTACTGGGGCTTTTCTGCTCCTTATTGGTTTATGCAGCCCATTCGGGGCTCCCTTCCGTACTCATGCTTACTCTGTGTTTTGCAGAGACTGGATGCAACAGTCTCCTCTCTGAGTGGCACCTGTGCATCTAACCCCAGGCCTGCAGCAGCACAGCAAGCCCCACCCACCTGGAGATGCAATTAGCTGATGCAGCTTTTTTTGTTAGTTTGGCTTTTGTTTTTGAGACAGGCTGGCCTGGAACTCCTGACCTTCTGTTTCAGCCTCCTAAACTGCTGGAATTACAGACAGCGACCATTACTCCAAGCTACTGTCCCCTCTGCCCCTCAATGGCTGACATTAAAGTTGTGTGCCACCACACCTAACCTACTGTCTCCGTTCTTGAAGCTATTTTCAACCCAGAAAACCATTAGACCTCGCTAGCGCCCACGTCAAGTGGGTCACACACAATGGTACCAGTCAGCAAGGGCCAACTGCGTGTGTCTCTCCCCAGTTCCACATTTGGTGACAGGATGACCCGGTGCTGCAGCTGGAAAGCAGGGCAGAGAGGCACCAACACCTCAGGAAGCAGCAGGATGACAGCTTAGCTCCCCTCCCCAAGCCCAGAACTGGCTGATACACTTCAGGCACGGCGCCGCTTTCATCTGATAGCCCCCGACTTCCTCTTAGTGGTTACGAAGTCTCCACATGACAGTGACTTATACGTGCTCACATGTAAATGTGCCTGTGCCCACAGAGGCAGAGAAAGCCAACACCCGAGACAATAATAAAATAATATGACTTGATCCAGGGAAGGCCTCTTCGAGTGGGCAAACCTTTTAAACTAAATGATTAATTAATTCATTTCCTTTTTGAGACAGGGTCTCACTTGGTAGTGCAGGCTGGCTACTGAGAACTGGGATTCCAGGTGTGATCCACTATGCCCAGGTTTGCAAACTTTTAATTTATGAAAAATTTTGAGCCATTAAAATCTGCCGGCACACTGCGCCTACCACATCTGCAGGCTTCTGCAGACCTTCCCCCTGCCTGCCGGGGGTGGGGGCTGCCCTTCCCCTGCAAGACTACAATCTCATCCTCTCCACAAACACAAGTTAAAGTGCTGCTGCTGCTAGATCCCATGTCGCCAGGCAAACGCTATCCCTGAGACAGCACTCTGTCCTCAGGTCCAGCAGGGCCATTTTATGTTCTCTCCCCATGAATCTAGGAGGCCCTTGAGGGTGGCTCATCTCTTATTTGGAACTGACCATGACTCACATCTGATGAAGTCTTGGGATAAGGCCCATTTGTTTTCCTTAATTCTGCCCCCACGCCAGGAAGGAGGACCCCAGGATCACTTCCGGTCTCTGTCCACTTACTCCACCAGGGAGGATTGGCTTATCTCACAGATGTCCCCTCCTTCTCTATGCGTCACCTACACAGAAAAGCAGCAGCCCCACGTGTAGGAGGGGCAGGGACCTGTGTGACTAATTTGCTACCTTAGCCATGAGTAATATGGCTCAGGGGGTAAATAAAGGCTTGTCACAAAGCCCGGCAACCAGAGTTTGATCCCTAGGACTCACATGACAAAGGAGAACCCACTCCTGCAAGTTTGTCCTCTCACCGCCACATGTACACTGGCACCCGTGGACCCCCTCCCCCAAACCAATGAATAGACTTCAAAATTATTCTGTCTCTTTTAAAAAGAAACACATCAAACAGAGATCCAAGTCCATGTATAACCGCATCAAAAATGGTAAAATAGGGGCCGGAGAGAGAGCTCAGTGAGTAAGAGCACTTGAACCCCCAGCACCCACATTAAAAGCTAGATGTAGCTGTGCACCCCTGTGACCTCGGTGCTGTGGGGGTGGAGAAAGGACTCAGTGGGACTTCTTGGATGCCAGCATAGCTCCAGGTTCAGTGAGAGCCCTTGTCTCAGAGGAATAGGGTGGAGAGTGGAGGTGCAGGGCACCTGATGTCCTTCTCGGGCGTCTGCCCTTGCACACACAGTCATGTGTACACACACACACACACACACACACACACACACACACACACATGAAAAATTTAAAAATAGCAAGATAGCACATGGAGGGGCGCCATCTTGAAAGCAGAGAACAAGCCTCAGGAGAATCTGGCAGCACTGATACTGGATTTACCTGCCTCCAGAACCGAGGAGACTTCTTTCTCTCCTTTATAAACAGTTCAGTCTTGGGTGTTTTGTGACGGCAACTCAGTCCGTGACATCCCCCAACTTAAGCTACAGACTCAACACAATCCCAGCTGAACTCACAGAAACCGACAACTTGATTCTAAAATTCACACAAAATTGCAAAGGCCCCAAACCAGACGCAAAATTGGGAAAAAAAAAAACAAAGTGGGAAGACTCATGCTCACCAACCTCAAAACTAACCACAAAGCCATAGCGACTGTGCAGTGCTGTGCTGTCCTGGTACAGACAAACCATTACATAAGGCCAACTGACTTATCACCATTATTGTGTATGCGCGTGCACGTGCACAATGCAACAACTCTGCTCACGATATAGCATAGTTTTTTTTAGATTTCTTTTTCTTTTGTGGTATGTCTTTATTATATACATGAAATGTGTAATGAGACAGAATGAAAGCTTGGAGTCCACCCACATGTCTATCCCTGGGAGGCTGGAACTGTGGGGCAGTAGTATGTTGAAATACGACGATGTCGCTTTGGCCTCTTTCCTGGCTGTGCTGAAATGCTGATTTCAAGGTGTGCCAGGCCTAGGGATGAATAGGTGCTATGTGCGGTCTTCCCCGCTTGGCGCCGTGTGAATACAACTGAGGGCGACTGGCTGGTGCTCAGGGAGGGCAGTACTGCGTTTCCCTCCCCAGAAGCTGACTGTGCAGGAGTGACTCACATTTGCCAGAGCTGGGGTAGCAGGAGAAGAGGGTAGTAGACAAGCTCCCTGGCGTGACAGGATGGGGTGGGGAGGGTAGGAGAGATAACAGGGTCAGTCTTGCCCATCCCCTTGCCTACCCTACTGTAGGAGACCCTTCTGCTGACACTGTCAGTGACCAGAACAGCCCTGGGGGCAGGGTGGGGGGAAGGTCCCTTGGGCACATTAACTTCAAGTGTCCAGTATTTCCCATTGATTACCCACAGAAGCCTCTGCCTGAGTGACCCCTCTCCTGGGAGCCTTCTTGGTCCACATGCCACACCTCTGGCATCCTGAGGATGACAATACCAGCATGGTGGCAGTACCTAGTGGTGCTAACATTCTTCAAGCCCACAACCGAAGTGCAGTGCCCCAGTTAGTGCTGCTGGGCACCAGGCCACACAGGCGCGGCTCCGGCCTCATTAGGGAAAGCTTCTCTTCTAAGCAGATCCTTCTGGTCTGTTCCACCAGGTTCCTGGGACACAAGTCACAGATCACACAAGTGGGGTGGGGTAGACTTAGGTCTGTCTTTCCCGATGGCTCTGCTGTCCTGCAGCTTCCTCAGTCCCCAGGGCCCTTCCCATCAGAGCGGCCTGACTGTGAATCCTGGTAACCATCTAGGGCCTGCAGAAACCCTGCCCATGGTTGGGTTCCCGTGCCTTGCACAGTGCCCAGCACCTGAGGCATTCCTCAACCATGCTGAATAATGCCTTGAGTTCTGCTCATCTGTCAGGTGGGGGCTCTGCTCACCTGTCAGGTGGGGCTTACAGCACCACCCCCAAGAGGTTCCTAGGATGTTTTCTGATGTCCCTGGGGCCTGGGTGGGTAGAGGTGGTAGCCTCTGACTGAGGCCAGGAGGTCAGTGGAACCTGGAAGCCTGGCTGAAAGGAGGAAGAGTAACTTGGGCATGGGCTGGCCTCCTGCCTCAAGGCTTAGAGGCCAAGTTCTGAGCAGAGGCCACTCTGGTGAGGCCTCTGGGCTTCCACTGGGCACCGGCCATCTTCTGGCCTCCAGGAGGGGTCTGGGGGACTGCGGAAAAAGCAGAAGGGTAAGAGCCATGTAGCCTATTCCTGGAGTCCTGATGACATCTGTCATCCCTCACCAGGGCATCCAGGGATTCTCCATTTGTCAGGCTGTGACTGAGAAGGCCTGGGCCCATTTTAGGGAGCCCAGCACCTGGGGCCAATCACCACACACAGAATAATAAGTACAGCGGTGGTGTGGGAGGGAGCAGGGCAGTATCCTGGGAGAGGGAGAGACACCACCCTAAGGAAATGCCTTTCACTGAAGAGGAGGCAGGGAGCTGTATGTGGATATACACACATGTGGTTCGTCTTCATGTATATGCACCCACATGTGAGTAATGAGGTAAAACCTAGTCCCACTTGACCAGACAGTGATGGTGACGGTTACCGGTGACACGCCACCTGGTCTTTCTGCCTGCCTTGAGGCCTCAGAAGCCTAGGGGCCCTGGAATGACCTCTGGAGAGTGTCATGTGACCATTTATGAAGCTAATTACTATTTCCCTAGAACAATAAAATCTCAAGGTGGGTTCATTCCAGGAGATGTACAGAAAAGATTGGCTGGTGGACAGGGCTGATGGGTGGACTAGGGGTGGGAGGTGCTGCCTACGTCCAGCGGGCTGGGCTAGTTTTCATCCAGGGGACACAGTTTGAGGCTGCCCCCCGGATTGTGATGGTTGGGATCAAGAGACCCACCAGCCCATCCAGTTCTCCTGGCACAGCAAAGAGCCCCACCCCACTCTGTCCAGCAGCTATGGCTTCTCTGTGGACTCAAACTGGGGAGGGTAATGCTTCCCTCTGCCCAGGTACTAAATAAGGCAGTCAATGCCCAGCGGTTGGTACTCAGTAGACGTGATGTTTGGTTTCTTTATCTACAAGATGCAAAGCCTAGGCCTAGATCTGCTTAATCTTAGTCACCCTTACAGGGTGGACCACCCTGGGACTGACTAGCACACTGAGACTCGGCTGTGGTGGGTGTCCTGCACTCTGCCCGGGCACTAGCTGATGGGGTGGAGGCAGAAGTCCGGAAGGATGGGACAGAAAAGGAGCTGGGAAGACAGACTATCAATGACAGCCTCTTCCTCCTCCAGGGTAGATCCCACACTTGGATCCCCAAACCTTGGACCAGCTCCACTCTACCTCCAGGGTAGATCCCACACTTGGATCCCCAAACCTCGGACCAGCTCCACTCTACCTCCAGGGTAGAGCCCACACTTGGATCCCCAAACCTCGGACCAGCTCCACTCTACCTCCAGTCCTTTGCTTGTCCCCTGTCCAAGGAGGAAAGACTTTGGTGTGGGCAGGCACAGTGGGGACTCCGGAGGTCCCTGCGCCCCTGTAGGTCTGGGGTAGAATGTAGAAGCAGACCATGGGAGAGGCCTGAAGTGGGATTTAGGGAATTTAGGGGATCTGGGGGGTCTGGGCATAGACTACAGGAGAAGCCTGGGGTAGAATCTGGGGAACTTGGAGCAGATCATGTGGGAGGCCTGGGGTAGGGTTTGGTACCCGGGGGTGGGCTGAGGAGGTTGGACTCTCCTCCCCATGCGCCCCTCATCTCTCTGCTGCCTCACACCTCACACTGGCGCTTTATGCTCTGCCAGCTCCTAACATTTGTTTCTTTAACTTTCTGGAAAACCTATGTTTTCACTCCTGTTCTGCCAGATGCTTTTTTTTTTTTCTTTCATATGTATGCTTCATCAAGCACATGAAGTCATCCTTCTTAGCCAGCGACAGAACCCTGGGTGTGCAGTAGTTACGAAAACCAGACCTGAATGCTCTGGACAAGGTGAAAATGACCAGCCCGGCCAGGACCCACGCTTTCCTTTGGCATGCACTTTGGTTTCACAGATCAAATGACTGTGCAGAAGATTTGGCAGAGGGGCTTTGGGGACGGGAGAGGCAGCAGGCCACCTCAGTGTTCAGCATGGCAAGGCCACGGTCTCTGCTCAGTCCCAGCCTCTGTTGTCCACCATCTCACTAGGCCTGCTCACCCCCACATCCAGGCTGCACGCATGTGTGCGCCCTTCCACCCACCTGCCTTCCCTTTCACCTCGTTTCAGCTCTGCATGCCCGAGGCTAGCTGTTTCCCCAGCCTCAGGCTGGTTCTCCTGTCTCCAACCTCCCACCTCACCCTAGGAATGCTGGGATTACAGATGGGTGCATGCCACCTCTTTCTGTGAATTCTGGGGTCATCAAGCTTGTGAGGCAAGTGTTCTTAACCGCTGAGCCGTCTTCCCATCCTCGGCAGGTTCTTAGGTACGTATTTTACTCACTCATCCACATGCCCGGCACCTTGGGGGACCAGGGAGCTGAGGAATAGGACCTGAGTCTGAGACAGTAACAGAAGAGGGATAGAGATGGCTCCAAGTGACATGGGCGCAGTGTGCTCAAGGAGGCTGGGGTAGGGCGAGGGCTGAGGGAATAGATGAGACAGCTGTGGGCGAGAGAACAAACAGAAGAAGATTAAGTATGACTGGCTAAACTGAGCCCTGGCCAGAGGCTGTAGTATGGCCTGGGACCCACAGGAGCTGCCCTCCCCCATAAGAGGGAGGGCTACGGTATGAGGTACAGCAAATGACTGAGGGGCTGGGCAGTGGTGGTCCATGCCTTTGATCCCAGCACGTGGGAGGCAAAGGCAGGCAGAGCTCTGTGAGGTCAAGGTCAGCCTGGTCTACCAAGCGAGTTCCAGGACAGCCAGGGCTACACAGAGAAACCCTGTCTTGAAAATCCAAACAGACTGAGGGAACTGTCTAGAGCAGTGGTTCTCAACCTTCCTGATGCTGCGTCCCCTTAATACAGTTTCCCATGTTGTGGTGACCCCCCAAATATAAAGGGCATGTTAATCCCAACTGTTTCCCCACGTTCACACTGAAGGCCAGACCCACTGTTGAGTGTTTGGGTACCTGCTCTAGACATGTTGTGTTGGACCAAAATTGTGCATTATGGGAGATAACGCCCCTCCCCCAACTCCTCTCAAGTGTGGGACGCTGCCTGCCATCTCACAAGGCCCAAGTGTATCTGCTAGCATCCTTCACTGCAAACTTCCTGTTTCCCTCCACTTGTAATGGCTGGATCCTGGCCATGGGGCAGGTGTTTTGAAAGGTTACACGCATACTTCGTTGCTGTTTAAATCTCAGAGGACTCTGCGGCGGGTAAGGGGGATTGTCAAAGCTTCCTGGACTCAGGGTAGGGGCTAGCTGGAGACAGAAGTCACAGAAGCATAGCAGACAGAGGACAGTGGGCCCGGGCCAAGCAGCTGGGAGCCCGAGCTATGAGAGGCCAGATGGTGAGGGGAGGCTGAAGGTTGCTATGACGTGCTGGAGGGCAGCAGGTGGAATACGAAGCCCCTCTTGGGTCAAGATGGTACCCCTCCCCCAACTCCACGCCCTGCCCAGAGCCACCATGTGATCTTACCCTCCAGTTACTGTGCCATACATCCTCCCTAGCCCCATTCAGCTACTTCCTCCTCCAGGGCCATCCCAGATACCCAGTACAATGGGACCACTCCCCTCTCAGAGCCTGGCATACCTGTGTGGTTTATGAGTCTCTGTGAACTTGGTCTGATGTTCACAGCCCCCAAACCCAGCAAACTGTAAATAGGACAGGACACTTGGTGGAGATAAAGTCAGGCTGGATAGGAAGTGTGGGATTCAAGCAGCCTGGGCTGAGGGTCTCCCTCTGGGGCACAACCTCAGGCAGTGGATGAACCCTGTGCTTGTCTGGGGATCTGCTGTTGGCATGTTCCTGCTCCTGTGCCCAGCAAGCCTACCCCCCCCCCCCCCCCGATACTCCTGCTCGTCTGCCAAGGCTGCGTGCTGAGAGCCATGTGTCAAACACGACTTCCTGCTCTGTGTGGCATCAGATATTTGGCAGGCGGGTCTCATCTGCTTGCCCTTCCGGTTTCACACAAATGCACACAGACGACACACGCTATTGAGCGGAAGATGGGACACACACCACAGGGGCACCAGGACTGGGTCTCGGATCCCCTGAATGTGGTTGCCACTGTACTGGGTGCAGGGCCTGAGACAGGCATGACCACCAGTGACAGCTGCAGGGCAGTGTGGTAGCTTCATGGGGCCTGTGTACCTGGAGGCTGTGAGGACGGCTCTGTGTCTCCCAGGTATGGCATATAGACCAGAACCTGTAGGAGTCTCAGGCCGGGGAAGCCACTGTTTGAGGATGAGAAGAATCTCCTGGGTCAGGAATGGCTTGGGGAAATGCCAGTCTCGATGTCCAGTTCTACAGAATGGGGTTGTGGGAGCTGTGAGTGTAGCTCAGCTGATAGAGTACGTGCCCAGCATGCTCAAAGCCCTGGGTGCCACCCCCAGCACTGCATAAACCAGGAGTGGTGACACGCTCCTAGTACTTCAGAAGTCGGGAAGTGGAGGCAGGAAGATCAGAATTTCAAGGCCAGCCTGGGCTACATGAGACCCTGTCTCCAAAGAAGGGGAGAAGGGCTGTCCCGGTGACCTGGATCCCTGCATACTACTTTGGCTGGTGACAAGAGGCCAGTGAAGGTGGGAATGGCGTGATCCTTGCTCGCTCTGCGGAACGACACGGCCCTCCCTTTCTTGGAAGCAATAAGGGAAAGGGGTCAAGAACTGAACGGCACATCTGCCTCCAGCGGCCCAGCAATCCCACTTCAGGGAACTCGGTTCTGACAAATGATCAAAGCACACAAGAACGTTTGCAGTGAAGCCCAAGCCAAAGATGTCAGCTCCCTGGGTGGGACACATGTAGTAGGGCATGTGAGAGGTGAGCAGGCAATCAGGAAGAGGCGTGATGGGATTATTGTCTATTTAGGGAACCTTCTAGAAATCCAAAGTTACTGCTGGGTATAGTGGTACACGCTTTTAACTCCAGCACTTGGGATGCAGAGGCAGGTGGATCTCTGTGAGTTGAGACCAGCCTGGTCTATAGAGTGAGTTCCAAGACAGCCAGAGCTGCAGAGTCAGAACTTGTCTCAAAAAACAAACAAAAACCAAACAACGACAACAATAATAACGATAATGATAGAAAGTTATAAAGAGCATAGCCAGGCATGACAGAGCACATCTGTAATCCCAGCACTCAGGAGCTGGTTGTGGGAGGCTCACACAGCGTGGCTACCCAGTGACTGCTGCCTAGGAGGGAATGGGTTCCCAAATATACCACAAGAACATGACAAGGCCACTCTGTGAGCTATGTGCTCACTGATCTGTTAACATTTTCTCCCAATAGCTCCCTGAAAGAACATGCCTCCAGAGGGGCCATTTAGTCCAGGATACCAAAGGTTCACATTAGCCATGTTGTTTTGGGCTGGCTCACGAGAGGAAGTGGAATAGATGTCATTTTCCTTATATATTCTTGCTCATGTGCATGTGTGCGTGTATACAAGTGTGTATGTGTACACCAAAGGTTGATGCTTAATAAATTGTTCTTCCATCTGATTTTTTTTTTTGAGACAGAGTCTCTCACTGAACCTGGAGCTCACCAATTGGCAAGACTTGCTGGCAAGTCCCAGGGATCCTCCTGCCTCTGCCTCCCCAGAGCTGGGATCACAGGTCTGTGCTGCTGCTCTTGTCATTTTTTTTTTACTGGGGAATCCACACTCAGGTTCTCATGCTTACACAGAACACACTTTTCTGACCAAACCATCCCCCCAGCACCTCTCCCCAGATATTCTTATCCAGTCTTTAAAGATGGCTGCCCAAGTTGGTCCCAGTGACAATCCTAGCACTCAGGAAATGAAGGAAAAAGGCGAGCCAGTTAATGCATGACAGAACTTACAGAAGAACATTCCAGAACACCATTCCAAACAGGTCCATAAGTCTCTATCAGTATAATACTGAAAGAATAGAGGACTGCACAGTGATATCTGTGAGTGATCCTGGTCTCCATACCACAAGTGGGGAGAATCTACGAACTCACTGTAGTCTAGGAAGTTAGGCCTCTGTGGATACAGCTCAGATGAGAGAGAGAGAGCCCCCCAGCATGAATGGAACCTTGAGTACCACCCGCAGCACTACACAAACTCATCCCAGGACTGAGCAGGGAGAGGCAGGAGTATCCGGGTTTTGAGGCCATCCACCGATACAATGTAAGTTTGAGTCTAGCCTAGGCTACAGGAAACCTATCTCAAAAAGCAAAGAAAAACAACAAAAACAGAAACAAACAAATAGACCCCAAAGTACCAATAACACAGTGCTCCTTGTGGGGGAAGTATGGGATGTAGTTACCCCAAGGAGAAGCAGGGATCTTGAAAAAGCAGGCCACGTCCTGCTCTTTCATCTAGGGCCAGTTACAGGGTTGTGTTTTACTCTGTCAAGACACACCAACCAAGCTGGGCATGGTAACAAATGCCTTTGGTCCCAGCACTCAGGAGGCAGAGGCAGGTGGATCTCTGTGAGTTCGAGGCCAGCCTGGTCTATATAGTGAGTTCTAGGACAGTCAGGACTGTTACAGAGAGAAACCCTGCCTCAAAAAACAAAAACAAAAAAGATACACCAACCAGAGCCAGTTGTGGTGGCTTACATCTGCATACAGCGCTGAGGAGACTGAGGTTGGAGAATAGAGAGTTGGAAGCCAGTCAGGGCTACAGAGTGAGATCCTATCTGGAAGGAAGGCAAAAGGCAGACCGTACCCTCACGCTACTTGCTTTCCAGTAAAGATAATTTACAGAAGAAATGCAGCTACTTAACATGTGCGTCAGAGCCAGTCACAACCAACAGCTGTTTGTACGTGGGTGTGGGCATGTGAGCATTGTGTGCATGTGTGGACTTACATAAGTGCATGCCTAAATGTCTGCTTGTACACCATGTGGGCTCATGGGCACCTGTGTGGACACGTGATGGTGTGTGTGTGCGGAGAGTAACAATTCAGTTTAGCAGAGGTGATCGTAAGTGACAGCCAGCAATGTAAGAGGTCAACTGTCCCTTGTCAATAGTTCTGTCCGCTGTCAAACCCAGGTGTTGTTTTGTGGTCAGCTGGGGACCTTCCTGATCTACAATAGACCAGAAAGGTCATTTTCGCTGACACTCATTATGTACAAGCATTGTTCTATGCTGGGTGTTAGGCCAAGAACGAGGTCTGTATTTCCTGTTCTCTTCCTTATGCCCATCTATAAATGTAGGAGACCCAGGCCAGGAGGGGACAGCTGAAGGCTGAGCTGGGATTGGATGGCCCGGGTCCTTTGGCCAGTCTGAGACCCTTCAGCATTCCCTGGATTGAGCTGTCCCTCTTATTTAGCAATCCTTATCTTGGCTAGGCCCAGGCCTCTGGCTATAGGACAACCAAGAACCTCAGGGATCTTCAAGTCTTCTTTCGGAACAATCAAAACAAATACAATTGGCAATACAGAGACTGGGACAAGAGGCTGGGGTAGAGAGAAGATGAGCTACAGGGGCCCATCTGACACCCAGAGGTCAAGGTGCAAGTCCCAGCTTGGAGTTT